TCTTTATGTCTTGTTTATGGTTTCCTTTGCTGTGCAAAAGCTTTTAAATTTCATTAGGTCCCATTTGTTTATTTTTGTTTTTATTTCCATTACTCTAGGAGGTGGGTCAAAAAGGATCTTGCTGTGATTTATGTCATAGAGTGTTCTGCCGATGTTTTCCTCTAAGAGTTTTATAGTGTCTGGTCTTAAATTTAGGTCTTTAATCCATTTTGAGTTTATATTTGTGTATGGTGTTAGGGAGTGTTCTAATTTCATTCTTTTACATGTAGCTGTCCAGTTTTCCCCCAAGCTACAGTAATCAAGAGAGAATGGTACTGGCACAAAAAAAGAACTATCGATCAATGGAACAGGATAGAAAACCCAGAGATAAACCCACGAACATATGGTCACCTTATCTTTGATAAAGGAGGCAAGAATATACAATGGAGAAAAGACCACCTTTCTTTCTTCTTTAATGTTTCTTTTTTTAAAAAACAGCCTTTTTTTTTTTTTGGCCGTGCCGCAGGCTTTGTGGGATTTTAGTTCCCTAACCAGGGGGCGAACCTGGGCCCTCAGCAGTGGGAGCGCAGAGTCCTAACCACTGGACCACCAGGGAATTCCCTAAAAAATAGCTTTATTGAGATATAATTCACATACGATAAAACTCACTTTTTATGAATTACATATGTACCCTTTTAAAGTGTACAATTCAGTGGTTTTTAGTAAATTCACAGAGGCGTGCCACCATCACCCTCTCGGTGCAGAACATTTCAGAGCCACGAAAGAAACCGCATATCCATTAGAGTCACCCCCTAGCAACCACTAATCCAATCTCTGTCTCTGCAGATCTACCTATTCTGGACTTTTCATATAAATGGAATCGTACTGTATATAGCCTTTTGAGACTGGCTTCTTTCACTTGGCATAATGGTTTCAGGGTTTACCCATATCGTCATGTGTCAGTACTTTCTTCCTCTGTATTGCCAGGTAACAGTCCATTCTATGAATATGCCAGAACTAGTTTCTTGTTGTGGTTTTTTGTTTGTTTGTTTGTTTGTTTTGCTGTACGCGGGCCTCTCACTGTTGTGGCCTCTCCCGTTGCGGAGCACAGGCTCCGGACGCGCAGGCTCAGCGGCCATGGCTCACGGGCCCAGCCGCTCCGCGACATGTGGGATCTTCCCGGACCGGGGCACGAACCCGTGTCCCCTGCATCGGCAGGCGGACTCTCAACCACTGCGCCACCAGGGAAGCCCTCTTGTTGTGGATTTGGTTTGGATTCCCCTAATGGCTAGTGATGTTGAGCATCTTTTCATGTGCTGTTGGCCATTTTTATATCTTCTTTAGAGAAATGTCTACTCACATCCTTGTCACTTTTTAACTAGGTTGCCTTTTTGTTCAGTTGTAAGAGTTCTTTTTTCCAGATACAAGTCCCTTATCAGATATGTGATTTGCAGAAACGTTCTCCCATTCTGTGAGTTGTCTTTTCACTTTTTTAACGGTGTTCTTTGAAGCACAAAAGTTTTCTTTATCTAGTTTTTATTTTATTATTTGTGCTTTTCATCATGTATCTAAGAAAACATTGCCTAATGCAGGGTCATTGAAGATTCACTCCTGTGTTTTCTTCTAGTTTTATGGTTTTAGCTCTTACATTTAGGTCTTTGATCCATTTGGAGTTAATTTTTGTTTATGATGTGAGGTAGGGGTCCAGCTTCATTTTTTTTCCTCAGGGAGTTTCTTGAGGGGTGGCTGCTTCATGCGGGGGAGCGTGGGAGCTACAGGAGCCCAAGCTTCTGTGAGACAGCAGCCTCCTTCCTCTCATTCCCACACGCGTCCTACAGGTAGCAGCCACTGATGGTCACTGGGCATTTGTCTGTGCCAGGCACGGGGCCATGCAGGTGGTTACACGCATTGCTCATCTAATCCTCAGAGCAGCCTGATGAGGGAACCTCTTATACCTTTCTGCTTCACGGAGGAGGGGACGGAGGCCCAGAGAGGGTAGGTCACTTGCTGAGGCCACTGTCCTGTGGAGCTGCGATGTGAACCCGACCCTGTGGCTCCGGGCCCTGGTCCTGACCGCTCTGCTTTCCTAGGGCCCAGCCACTGCCCCATGCTGCACGCAGAGCCCCTTTCAGACTTTGTTCGGTGCTCCACCCGGCCCCGCCCGTGGCAGGCGCTGATTGATTCCAGGCCTCTCCTGCCCGCCACCCTGCCCCCCACCCCCCCGCCGGCCCGCACCAAGCCCGGGCCGCAGGGCTAGCGAGAGCTTGCTCAGGCCGACAGTGAGGCTGTAAAGAGACGGAGGATTTCTGCAGGCGGTAGAGCTGGGTTCACATCAGGAGGTGTCATCTCGTTTATAAGCTCTCACGTGAGGAGCGATGTCCTAACAGACAGGAGGCAACAGGTCCTGCTCCCATCGCCCCCTGCGGGTGCACTGAGGCCCCTCTGTCTTCTCCCTGCAGTTCGTGGCCATTGGGCCCACCACCGCCCACGCCCTGGCCGCGCAGGGCCTGCCTGTGAGCTGCACTGCAGAGAGCCCCACGCCGCAAGCCCTGGCCGCGGGCATCAGGACGGCGCTCCAGTCCCATGGATGCTGAGTCAGAGGCCCCAGCGCCCTCCCTGGGCGGAGCTGCCCCTGTGGGCCCAGGGCCAGGTGCTACCGCGTCCCGGTGGAGCCGGGCATCGGGCAGGGGCTCCTGGGAAACCGCCCCCTCACACTTCTGCCTCGCGCCCGGGGGAGCCCCCGCCAACACCGAGGCTGGGCCAGGACCCGGGGCCGGGTCAGGCCCACGTGCGCCTGATGTCCCTTCATGGAGTCCAGCGCGGACCCCCACCCAGCGCACGCGGCTCCTGTGGCAGCAGAAGGATCAAATAAAGTGCACTGGCCACTCCTACTGACTGTGCCTTGTTACTTGCTGTCTGTGGTTTCAGTGCAAAGCTGTGTTTGGCGCCCACGTTCTGAGAACTGACAAACCTGGTATGAATAATAAAGTTTGCTGTGTGTGAAGGAGTTTTATTCATCTTACAGAAGGACCTCGAAATTCCTGCTTTGTGGACAACTGTAATTCGAATACAGAGGAGGCTTTCTTTCCTTCAGAGACAGAAAAACGGAATCAGTCAGCCGGGCTTCCCAGAGGCTGGGGAGGCTGATTTACTTCGAGGGGCTCCCGTGCAGATGCAGGGCCTGCAGGGAGGTTTCGGGAATCCGTCCCCGAACTTTATTCCCATTTTTATAAGCTTGGCCTGGTTTCTGAGCTGGGTTGAATGAAACCCGTGTCTGCCTGTCAATCACGTGAGCTTGTGGTAGGAAAGATCCCTGTGCTCCCCGCACATGGCGGGTCCTGTTGGAAGGCGTTTTCTATTGAGCGACTCCAGCCCCGTGCAGGGGCTTTGCCTCTCTGACATCCATACCCGTTACAGCCCTCGGGAGTAGATGTCACTCGTATTCCCATTTCTCTGCTGAAGAAGAGAGGACTCAAGAAGTTAAGTGACAGCTAGTGAGTGACAGAACCAGGATGAATTTAGAAGGGGTTTGTGGACTCAGCATGTAGACCAGGACCGGTGACGTTCATATACCACCTCACGTCAGATGGACATTAGCTCGGGGGGGCGGCCGTCTGTTCCTGACATGGGGGCAGGGGAGGGGTGTGTCAGGGGTCGGGCTGCAGGGCTGCCTTAGGTGGTCTGCCCACCACTTTGGTGGTGCTGAGTGCAGGGGGCATGTGCAGTACCCTGTTTTTGCTCCCGGCTCTTCAGAAGTGGCAGTTGGGTTTTGGGGGGGTCTTTTTGTATCTTGTTGCCCAGAATTTGCCCCAATGGCACATGCACGCCGTTATTTTTAGTCCCTTATAGTTTCTTTGTATTTTGTTGCTCAAGGAGACATTTGTCCAGGTGCAAGCACTGCAGCAAAGGGTCCCAGGGCCCAGGGCCCAGCCTGCTGGGTTCCCATAAAAGACTGTCCTTTGGGGTCGATGATGCCCAGACTGGGTGAGCGGGTCCCCTGATCACGTGCTTGGGGGTCAGGACAAGGTCAAGTTGCTATAGAAAGTGGTTTCTGTACTTTTGGCTAAGGCAGAGTTGCAAGCACAAACCTTTAGCATTATGAGCAGAACTGAAAATTATAAAGCTATGTATAAAAATCCTTTTAATAATGCTGAACCACGGGAGTCTGCTTTGTTACTTTACTAAGTGCAATGAACATAGTTTTCCTTTCCTTTGTAATTGTTTCCTTTTCTTTCCATTATTCTCAAGGATTGAAGCCAGTGCCGTGGCCTCAGAGCCCTTCTGAGACCAGAGGTGTGGCTGGCGCAGGAAGCAGAGGGAATCTGGCCTGACCTGGGGTGGAGCCCCGTGCGTGCCTCACCGAATCACTGAATATGTGCAGGACCAAGGGCCAGGCCGGGGAGGCTCATCCTCTCCAGTAGAAAACAAAAGTAGAATTGGACAAAATGGTTACAAACAACCATTTCAGGGCTCTGGAATTTGACCTGAGTCAGAGGACAAATCGAGAAGTGTTTATTCTTGAAAACCCGCCCTTTGGGCCAGACCGGCGGGAGTGGCCTCATGGCCTAGAGATGCCCCTCATCCCTGTGCACCCACTGCTGGGACCCTAGATTCAGGCAGGAGAACACCAGGGTTTTTTCAGTGCAAAGGTGGTGAACCCTGCAGGGAGGGAATGGGAAAACCTGCAGCGTTGCTAGTCTGAGCTTGTGGTCCCAGCTGGGATGAGCCACAGACCAATCAGAAATGGAACGGGGACCTCGTGGGGATGAGAGCTCCACAGAAGGACTGACTGGGTTAGCCGACTGGGAAGAGTGCTTGTGTGCAGTGCAGTGCCGGCCCGACACAGACAAGGGGGATGCAGGGTGCGGGCCAGAGGGAACTTGTGGGGCCACGGCTGTGTGCTATAACCGATCGTGGCACAGGGAGGTGGCACAGGGAGGTCATTTGTCCCGGAGGATTGTGTAAACTAATTTGGAGAGCGCTGCATTATACACACGTTTTTCTCTGTATTATCAAAGTGAAATAGGTTAGACCACGAATCAGGAACTCTGGCTGCACGTGAGAACCATGTGACGTGCTTCTGCAGAGGGAGTTGCTTCGCCCACCCCCATTCTGCTTAATTGTTTCCTGGGGCAAAGCCCAAGCAGCTGGCGTTTTAGAGGCCCTCCAGGTGGTTCCCATCTGCAGCCACGTTTAAAAACCCTCGCACCTGGCCAGGGTGCAGCCCCCGGTCAAGTCTAGAAGCTGGACAAGTACGAAACAGGCGCTGGGCGGCGGCGGAGGAGACGAGAAACCCGGCTGCAGGCGGGCGGGGAGACAAAGGTGAGAAGGGGTGCGTGGGCTGCAGAAGCCGGGCCGCAGCACCCCACGGGGGCAGGGGCGGGAGGCGGCCCGGGGAGGGTGAGACTCAGCATGGATTTGCTAAATGTCTTTCATCCGCATGGCAGCCTGAAGTGACCTTTTGGAGAGGAGGTGACCAGGGTTTAAGGAGAGGCGGGGCAGATTTGGAAAGATGGAGATCAGTGTGGGATTTGGAAGGGTTGCTGCCGACTCAGCCCATCAGAGGGAGGTGAGCCAGGCATCGAGGGTGCAGGTTTCCTGGCCGTCGCTGTGAGTGGGGAACCTGGGGTTTGGCAGCTGGGCTGGGGACTCCTGTTAGCAGCTTAGAACGTGAGGGCTGGGTAGGCAAACATGAGTTTTAAAGTGACTGGGGAAGGACCCCTGGTTCTGCAGATACTGGGGACGGCAGAAGGCAGCGTCTCAGTAACTTTCAGCTCCGGAAAGTTAAACCCAGAGAGGTCACACGTGGTTCTGCTCACCCTTCCCAGAGGCTGACAGTTCCTCCTAAGGCCCAGAGTTCTGCTGGTTCGTTGTCTGTGGGCTGGTAGAGGGAAGTGAATGGCAGCCTCAGGACAGGAGCTCGACAGGCACAGGTCCAGCCTGGGAAGGGTTAGCTTTGAGGTCGTGGAGCCGGCATGAGGCACGAGCCCCACACGACCCCGATAGAGCCCCCAGCCCCAAGTTTCCTGTGTCCTTCCTGAAGATCAGAAGGGACAGAACATGAGGTGGGAGAGGACAGATCAGGGAGCAGACACTGAACAGAGGTGCTCTAGAGGGTTCGCCATATTCTGCGTTCACTCTTTACGTGGGCTCTTGTGCGCCCACCCCAGCCGGTGCCGCGGAGTGTTGGTGCAGGAAGACCTTTGGGAAGAGAGTAAAGCATCGTGCGGGAGTCTGCGCGCCGCACCAGTGCTGGGCCTCGGGCCTGGGGTGGTCAGCAGTGAGTTGAAGGTGTTCCCTTTGGACCTTAGAGCTGAGCTCATAATTATGGGATGCGTTCTCGGGCGCTGTTCCAAGTGTTAGATGCTTTAACTCATTAGTTACGTGTAATAACTCACCTAACGAGTTAAAATAATGGCTCTGTGCCAACTATTAGGTTAAGTGTTGATGCAATTATGTTAATTGTGAATGGAAGGTAAAATAAAAACATTGCGATGTATATGTTTTTTTAAGAAAATAAACTAGCAGGAAATCATTTTACTAAAAATTCTAATGTGTAACATATTCTTAACAATAAGCCAAATAATGCCATTCAGGATTTACTGCTGTGTCTGAGAGGTTTATCTGGTGCAAAGGTGACGTCGGGTCATGACCCCTGACACCTAATGAGTCTGGGCCATGTGCTGGGAACCTGGGGGTCAGAGACAGCACGGCTCCTGCCCTCAAGGGGCTGCAAACACTGTGAAAGGACAAAGTCGGGAGGCAGCTGAGCTCAGCAGAGCTGGTCTGTACGTCACCCCGCAGGACTGTGGCCGGGAGAGGGGAGCGGTCCACAGCTTCACTCTCCGAGGCTCTGTCGCCAGGAGCCTGACAGTGGAGTCCCAGGATGGCCGTCTTCGAAACCGAGTCGCCTGCCTTTTGTGTCATTGTCATTGTCATATTTTCCTTCAGAGATTTTATTTAAAAGATTAGATTTCTTTTTTTTTTCTTTAAATCCATTTCTTACAATTGTCAGAGGTTCTTGGCTGGGCAGTGGTGTCATGAGACTTCAGCCCTCCATCATACCTCTCTGCCCCTCTCCCGAATCCTGACCCAATCCTTTCCTCCCCAAACATTTTATAAATGAGAAGGGACGTGGCACCAGGGCTGGCCGGGCTGACGATCAGTGCCTGGTGTGCGCCAGCTCCAGGCAGGAGGTGCAGGCGAGAAGGGCAGGCAGCACGCAGGCCGCCAGACTGGGCTCCTGGGGTCCCATCTCCCTCACAGGTTTAACTTCCCCAAACTGGAAACGTTCACGTTACCTCCTGGAAAATTGCTCCTCGGCGCCAGATAAAGTGAAAAACATTTTGGAAAGAGCTGCAAGTTAACGACGTTGACCTGCACCCCATGGCCAGGTCAGCCAGGAGCTCCACACAGCTCAGCTTCCCCAGTCCTGTAGGCTCCCCTCCCCGTCCCCAAGGCCACGAGTGAGAAGACACCCCGAGAGCTCCCCAACTCAGGCAAGAGGAGGTCAGCTCGGCCCATCCTCTGCGTGAACAGAGGCAGAGACTCATTCACACAGTCTTCAGTCTGCAGTGCTGTGGAATTAGCCAGCTGAGGGTAAACTCAATGAGGCCAAGTGACAGCAAAGCAGCA